CAAAAAACACAGAGGTCCAGAGATTCCAAGGCTTCAACGTTCACCTATTACCTGACTGGAACAAAATCCCAGCAACAATGAAGAAGGTCAACCATAAGACTGGCTTCTAGAACTAAACTGCGTTTGGTACATGTACCAACTCCCCATGATGACTGTAATCACTGTGTACTGCAAACATATAATAATAAAGTTAAAAAGAAAAAAGAAACAATTGTTGGCCCATGGTGCACAGGGCCTAATTCTATACGCCTCTTCCTTGGGAGGCCTGGGGCCAGAGTCTGAGCAAAACAGGAGAGGATCCAACCAGAGATTATTATCTAGGACACAGGGCCCCTTCGTGTGCCTTGAGAAATAGACAGTGGAGCTGCCATCCTTTGGGTCACGTTCAGAGGCAAAGTGGCCTCAGTTCAAGGGCAGAAGGATAGAGATTGGGACCCACCTTATGAGCAGGGCAAGGATGGATGTTTATAAACTCTTTTAACCAGGTATATTCCTGATTCAGAGAAGAGTGTGTCTTTCTGGGACCACAGACTCTGACCCAGAAACACCGTCATAGCTGAGCAGACTGAAAGAGGAGGAAACTTGAGCAGCTGCCTCTCTAGAGGCAATCAGGGGGTTGCTGAGGCCAGTGACCTCTGGCTGGAGAGCAGGGTGGAGGACTGGAGGCATCCTTTGGGGCGAAGCTTCTCAGGTTACCTTAGAGCAAAGAATGAGCAGAGCTAGGATGCCAGCAGAAGGAAGATGAGCTGGACAAGCAGAAGAGAGAAATCACTGGGGCGTAGATCATGGCAGCCTTGATTACCTGGATCCCAGCACAATAAAAGAGATCGAGCAACTGTAAGTGACTTTGGATGAGAGTCCTTAAAGGGTGCCAGGAAGATGCTTTAGGCATTTTGGAAAATCCTCTGGAAGAGGTCATTTTTACTGTTTTTCTTCTATGACACTACAGAGAACCTGCAGGTAAAATAATCAAGATTTTTCCAAGATGATCTATTTCCACAGCGGAGGAGAATTTCTAATTCATTAGGCACTTAATCATTCAGACTTTCAGGATTACTAGCATTCCAAAAGCCTCAAAAATTTTAATCCGGATTTAAATTGAACGGGTATAAAATGTGGCAGTCTGCCAATTATTCAACTGCAACTCAACTCTTACTCTTCACACGGTAATGGAAGAAAAACAAAAATCACCTCTTCTGCAGTAGAAGAGAGATAATCTGAAGACCAAAGATTAAATATGAGTGCATAATTATTAGTACTTTTTGTTATAGGCATCACTACACCACGGTTGTAGGTGTAATGCTTTAATTCTGAAATTTTATATCTTTATAAAGTTCTTTATATCCTGAAAAAGTCAAGATAAAAGTATTATCAAACTAGGAATTCACAGGTAAGAGAAAAGCCAGACTAGAAGAAGAAAGACAAGGGAAAAGAAAATGGAATTTCATGTACCAGAAATGAATACGCGTCTGAAAATGTTGTGTGTAAGGAGTTAGGTGACTGTAATGCTAATGCCTTACACAGTTTGGACTGGAGACACAGTGTTATCTTCAATAGTGATGAAACCTTATTTCTCTTTCTCTCTTTGACTGCAAGTACTGCCGATTGAATCCAGGGCCTTTACAGTGAGCTACAGCCCCAGCCATTTATTTTTTACTTTTATTTTGAGACAGGGTCACGGTAAGTTGACAAGCCCTTGCTTGAACTTGGGATTTTTCTTCCTCAGCCTTTCAGAGTGTGGGGATTTTCACAGGCATGCACTACCATATCCAATTTATTTCTCTATTTTTAAATTTTTCTTAGAGCAGCACAAATTGAAAGTATACTGTATCAAGTAGACTAGTTTTCCAGTTGGTATCCAGTCAGTAGAAAAATCAAAGAAAGGTAGGTTGTTTTCAGTACTGCAGATTGAACCCAGGGTCTTCCCATGGAATTAGACCCCCAGGCCTTTTTCTTTTAATGTTTTACTTTAAGACAGGCCCTTGCCAGGTTGTTAAACTACACAAGCCGGGCTTGAATTTGTGAGCCTCCTGTCTCAGCCTCCCAAAGTACTGGGATTAAAGGTGTGCTCTGCAGGGCGGGCTGAATTCTTTATAGACTGGTAGTACAGCCTCCAGATTTACTCCAAACCTACTGACAATAAAGCTATCTTCTACTTTGCTAAACAATCACATTTTTATGAACGTGTCCACTCTTGCTACCCAGTGTCCTTTTATTAGTGGATAATGTCACTGACTACTGTAAGGTACGAAGAAATGTCGTATGTTAACACTAAAAGCTAGGAGATAAAGCCGGGCGTGGTGGTACACGCCTGTAATCCCAGCACTTGGAAGGCTTTGCCAGTTTGAGGCCATCCGGGGCTACAAAGTGAGATCAAGTCCAGTTGAACTGCATAGTGAGACCCTGTCTCAAAAAGACAAAAAAAAAAAAAAAAAAAAAAAAGCTAGGAGATGAAGCTTGGTGAAGACTCAGTGGAAAATACCCTGGGGGACAAGTTGATATCCTTCTGGTGGAAGTTCATTGAACCAGCCTCTACGTTGATCTCAGTGAATTTTGAATGGTTAGCAAGTATCATTCATTCTTAGTTTCCAATTGCAAATTTATTGGAAGGACTTATTTGATTTCTTCAGCACATCACATTTATTAGATGTTTAATAAAGTCTGATTATTGGGGGGGTTTACATAATACTGAGGTATTTAAGTAGTTCAACTGCCTCAAAAATTGTATGTATTGTAAGCTGTAAGCTCAGCTGTAAGCTCAGCTCCATGCAGGCCAAGGCTGGAGGATTGTGAGATCTAGACCAAGTTGGACAATTTAGCAAGATAAGACCGGCCTCAAAACAACCTAAAATCAAAAAATAAAAGGGCTGGGGGCCTAACTCATTGGTAGTGTTAGTGGCTAGCATTCGGGAGGCCCTGGGTTCAATCATCAGTACAAAAGAAAAAAAAAATACATTCAACTTCCAGGTCTCTGTCACACAGAAGTTAACACACAGCTATAGTGAGGACAGCAGTTTTGGCCGTAGGGATGCTGAAATGTTTGTACTAATGTTTCCCCTTTCCCCTCCCCCTCCCCAATGTTCACTTCCACTTCTACTTTTTAGACTTCTAGAGTTCCTTTAACTGGGTAAATTTTCTACCAACTCAGTACAACGTGAACTTTTTACACTGCTTATCACTTTCTATAAACTTGTGGCGCTGATGAGACTTCAAACACGTTTTGTGCCTTAACACACACCACCGTGTTATCAATCTGAAGAAAGGGGCATCTGCCCCTTCAAGTACATAGCGCCTTGGATTATTTGTGGTCCTCTTTCTAGCTGCAAGCTGGGAATAATTTCTACTATATAACTGCAGAATTTGCTGAGGACTAAAAAGATGACATAAATGTATGCTTTGTTTAGTATTTGACATACAATAAAACAGTATTTTCGTACCTCTTCCCTCTTCTGGGGAAGCTGGGGAAGAGACCAGAAGTTAGCTAACATAGTGATAAAAAGTCGGAAGCCTGGAGTGATGATATCCATGCGCGCGCATGGGGGCCTGGGCATGCCACGGCAGAGGGGGACTCTCAGACCTCTTCAATGAGGTTCACTACTGGCAGCTAAGTCACGTTCCTTCCACGGCAGGGTGGGCAGATTCTCCGATCGCGCCATTCTCTAAACCGTAAGGGCATTCTTCGGCCGTCTGCTCAGCTTTACTCGCCCTCGCCCAGTCCTGGGTGGCTGCCCGGTCTTCGTACCTCCGGGTCTCCGCACACTCTCCCCTCCCGCCTGAGAGCTGCCCCTCGCGTGCGGCCGAACACCGCGGCACGTCCTACGCTGTCTCTGCGGCGCACAGTCCGGCCGGCAAAGCGAGCTGAGCCAAGGTCGCACCTCGGCGCTCTAGACTGGTTGAACGCCAAGAGAACAGTGCGCGCTGAAACGGCGGCGCCTTCCGCGCCTCACACGGGTCAGAAGGCGTCACCGGCGGCCTTTCGAGGAGAGGGAGGTTTTCTGCTGGTGCAAGAAAGCTCCGGCCCAAGCGAGGCCGGACCGCTCCCGCCCGCGCCCGGCGGGCAGGCAGGCAGGGAGAGAGGCAGAGCCAGTCCGGCCGCGCGCCCTGCGCCGCCGGAAGT